TATGCACAAAATTTATTATATTTTCTGAGGGATTACGACTTTCTAAACTCTATATAAACCTTGTGATACACATTGGTTTGATTATGGCTTTAGGGATCATAAATCATATATTTTGAGAAAGCCATTTAGAGAGAGAAAAATTCAGAAAATCAAATCTGATTGTTCTGAATTTATTTTTGAGAACACACATATATTTTCATGAGTGATTTAGTTGTGTTGTTCTCTATTTCATTGGAATTGGAGCTATATTGAAGATTCAAATATTATGGATGAAGAGCATGATTTAATTCTTCTACAACCGAGTTCATATCTTGAAGAACAGAAGTAAACGCACTCTATTTTCACAATAGGGAGGTTGAGAGTGTTCCAATGATTCAACCGAGCATTTACCTTATCAATCAAAGGTTTGCAGTCAGCACTTCGCAGAGATCTATAAGACAAAGGAATCCCCAAATACCTATAAGGAAACTCTTCAGCTTTAAACTTCAAGACATCTAAAATTCTTATCCTACACCTAACTGCTTTTGAGAAAATAATAGAGCTCTTGTCATTGTTAATTTCTAGACTAGTGTGACACCTGCAAACTTGTCAAACACATCCACAATAGTTTTTGCAGTACCTAAATCAACATTAACAACTCTAAGGAGGTCATTTGTATAAAGAGTATAAGAAATCTTTAGACCAGCTTTAACAATAGCATTGCAAAGTTTAATGTTGCCTTCATTGATACCAGTAGCCATAAGGGTAGAAAAATATTCTGTAATGTTCCGTAACTAGAGTGAACAAGAGAGGGGACAAAAGACATCCCTGCCAGAGCCCCATAGAAGTTGTGAAAAAACCTACTGGAACACCATTACAAAGCATAGAAAATTTAGAATTAGTGACACACTGCATACAGAAAGCTATCCATTTGTCACTGAATCCATATAGCTGCATAATAGTTTTAAGAAATCTCCAATCAACTAAGTCATAATTCTTCTTCAGGTCCACCTTCAGAGCCATGTAAGGATCCCCTCTCTTGTGACCAAACCCTTTGGGTCTGTCACTAGAACGATATTGTCATGAATATTTTGCCCTTTAACAAAAGTTTATTGCTCCAAACCCACCAAGGTTGGAAGCATACCTCTAAGTCTGTTAGCTAGAATTTTTGTAATGATCTTGTATATGAGATTACACAAGGAAATAGGCCTATAATTACCAATTTTGTCACCATGATCTAGTTTTGGAATCAAAGCCAAGAAGGTAGATTTAACCCCTAGAGGGATAGAATTATTCTGAAAGAAAAATAGAATTACAGCAACAGCATCTTTCCCCACAAAGCTCCAATACCTAAAATATATTATATACAATACTTTAAAGCTGAAAGGAATGATCAAATCTAAATAATGTTTTCAATTACTCTCCACCCACCCATGTGAAGCCTATTAAAAAAATTCAAAAATCTTACTCCGTAATTTCTTAGTCCGTATTTGACTTTCAACCTATTCCGGTCTGGTCCGGTACGGAATGAACTTATAATCTATAATATGATGATCGAGTCGATTCCATGATTATAGGTTCATAACCTTAGCTGGCAATTTGTTTTGTAAACTATCACGATTGTGATTTTGTTCTGGATGAAAAGTTCCCTAATGATTGTTCAATAACTTCTCTAAGAAGAAGAAATTATTTTAGGCAGATTAATTTTTGCCAAAATGGTGTAATAACTAATATCTTCAAAGAAATTATTCTGGATACAGAGATAGAAGGCTTAAACGGGTATAAAGATTTAATCTTTGGATGACATAAAATCAAATTCGAAGATGGATTATCTATATATGTATGTCTATATATAGGGAAACAAATAATCATGAAGCAATATTTAAAGGAGTGACAGTGATTTACCAATAAATTGAAGATATCAATTATAATTTATATTTAGTTATTATTTTACTTCCATTGTTGTTAGAGATTTATTTGCATATAATGAATCAAATTAATTTTATACTACCATTTGTTTATTTCATTGGTTCCACTTGTCATTTTTACAATTTTGACTCGTGTTGTTGATGCAATTGTTCTTGTGATAGCTGTTGATATGGTGATGACTTGTAGTTGACTCTTTCAACACCCGGTTAAAGAAAAAAAAGAAATATTGGCTGTCCAAAAAATTGTTTCTTTTTCTCAGGAATAAATAAGAAATATTTGAACTCGATTAGATTTCATCCAAATGTAGTAGTTAATAAGGGGAACTAGTATGATTTTATTGAAATTACATATTAGGATAACTCGAAAAGTTTTGATTGAATTAGTATCCAAAGAAGAAAAAAGGATCGAATAATTATTTTATGATGAAAATAGAATAACATTCTATTTTGTGTTGTATGCATAACAGGTATACACTATACAATCAAATATAAAACATCCTGCCTACCCCTTTAGACTCCCCTACTTATTGATTAGGGGAAGCCATACCAACAACAATATCCTCAATGATAGATACCTCTTTAGTAGGTTGACATTCACTAGCAGAAGCATTAATCTCACCTTTAAATACCACAATAGCATTCTTGATAAGCACTAAATATTGCATAATCAAGCGCCCTTAATTACATGATCAGTCTATTTAGCATGTCAATAAAGTGTATTTTACAGGTTTTGTTGTATTTTGTCTATTTTCAGGGCTTATCTCCAAAATGGAATAAAAGCAAGTTTTTATGAGATTTAAATGAACATGGTTCATGGCATGCTAATAAACATGGTTCATGTCCTAAGTCCTTGAGCAAGCTCAGCCTAATAAAGGAAGTTGACTTGGGAAGGCAAGAAAGATGAAATGCATCATGGAAGAACAAGGTTGGTGTCCGGACGTAGCCTCCGAAAGCATTCTTAGCATTCGTACGTTCTATGTAGAAATGACCCAAAAATTGCAAATTCAAGAAAAAGTAAAATTCCAGTAGCCAAGGAAAATTGCGTACTGATGCCCAGCTCTACGTCCGAATGCCAAATGGCAAAGCCTCTAACACAAGCACCTCAAAGCGCGTAAGACACACAGCCTGACAAGCTGTGTCCGGGCATCCGGACGCCAACCTGCGAAGTAAATGAGGAATTTGAATTTTTTGTTATTTTTCTCTCTTTTCCAACTTTAATGCATAAGTTTTAGGGGGATTTTGATTGATTCTGGCTAGAAAGGCTATATACACATCTCTATATTGTATATTCATTATCATTCATATTATGATTTAAATTTTGTATACAATTTTGGGGAGAGAAAGTGAGGAATAGCTAGTGTTCTTAAGTGTTCTTAAGAGGGGCTGCTATGGAGCTGAAGATGGAGGCTTCCTCTTCAATCCTTGGAGTTTCCTCCACCACCAGGATGAGTTTCAATTTGGGGGAATAACATTGCATGGAATGAATTTCATGAATAAGATGAAGGTTTATATTGAAATTAGCGTTTTTACATTAAATTGATGTATGATCCATACTGAATTCACAAATATTGGTATGTTTGCTATGCAATTCTTGTCTTAGAACCATATTTACATACTTGTACTCTTGATATTCTTATAGTGATAATAAGGATTAATTTCATGAAATAGTTTTGTAGGCATGTCATGTAGGATTTTAGAAAAATTATGTTAAGGGAAGATGGATCATGCTACACCTTTAGAGTAATGTAGTTAGGTAGATGGTCGATACCAACCGAAGATAATTTATACTAGAGGATTGAATTTTATGTGCTAATACTTACAAATTCAAAACCTTGATAGGCCATGCCTAGGGAAGATGGCTCATACCACAACCTAGTTTAGGTGGATGAGCCATACCAACCAAAGATGGGTTATGTTTAGTTTTGAATTATATGATTTTTTGGAAATTGTTGTAGTTGTTGTATACTTCTACACATTGTGATTACATATAATTATTTTCCCCAAGTTGATTACATTATAACATGATTATGAGGTCTCAGTGAACTCGATTCCCTAGTTTCCTCTATTTATTAGTTCAATTTTTTAATTCGTTTAATTCTGTTTTAAGTTTATGTTAAGTGACAAACAAAAAAACCAATCTGTGACACTTTACAAACTCAAAAGTAGTCTTCGAATTTTGATTGCCATAAGCTAGAAATCTTCGTGTTTTGTGGTTTATAATTGACACGCATCAATTTTTGGTGTTGTTGCCGGGGATTGTAATCGGCTTTGTAATAAATAAAAAAAATTAAAGATTAAATTCAGTTTAGAGGTAATTTTAATTTTTGTATATATTTTTTTGTTTTTAATTTGTTTTCCAAGTTCTTAAGTGCAGATTTGAAACAAAGGGGCTGCTTTGAGGTGTTAAACAAGTGCTGAAATTTTTGAAAAATTCTGGGAATTTGGAGATTTTGCACCATTTGTAAGTATTTCAAGTTGATTTTTGCTGCACTTGAAAATTGGTTATATTTGCTTTACATGGATGAATGCTAGTTGATGTTGGGTCATAGATCTTTGACATTGCCAAACATAGAAGAACAAGTTGACATAGCTTCATTAGAAAGAACTCTTAGACAACAAAGAATTTAAGAGAGCTAGAAACTGAAGTTAACAATATGGTTAAAAATCGTAAAAATGTTAGAGTTGAAGATCCTAGAGTCAAAAATGCTGAAATTGCAAATGAAAATGTAGCACCTATGACTCTTAGGGACCATTTCATCCCATCAACATATGCATCTCCATCATGCATCGTCATGCCCAATGTCGATGCCCATCACTATGAAATCAAATCCAACACAATCCAAATGTTTCCATCTTATTATGGGTTTGATAATGAGGACCCTTATAAACATCTTAATGGGTTCCTAGAAATTTACTCCACTATCAAGATGAGGGACTTCCCTCAACAAGCACTCCATATGCATCTCTTCCCATTCTCCCTACAAGATAGGACAAAATATTGGTTAAATTCCCTTATTGCAAATTCCATCACCACATGGGCTCAATTGTAACAAGAATTTCTAAAAAAATACAATCCTGTGGGGAAAACCAATCAAATGCGTAGTTATATTCTTAGCTTCTCCCAAATAAATGGAGAAAAATTCTATGACACATGGGAAAGATTTTAAGATCTTCTTAGGAAGTGTCCACACCACCAAATTCCAAAATGGCAATTGGTGCAAGCCTTCTATAATGGTTTAACCGAACCACATAGACAACTCATTGATTCTTCCTATGGGGGCATGTTCACGTCCAAAAATGCAGATGAAGCTTGGACCTTACTTGAGAACATGAGCAAAAATTCTATTCAATATAATTCTTGTAGGGCTCCTACTTCTAGTATTAGAAAACCCTCAAATCCGTGCCAACCACGGACTCTAAGGGAAGAATCATCTCAAGTGGATGCCATAGCCCATAAAGTTTTTCAGCTAGTGGCACCACACCTCTCCTCTTCTCAAAATTCTTCATCAATTGTTATATGTGAATCTTGCACAAGCACTTTTCATCTTGAAGAAGATTACCCCACACCGGAGCAATTTTATGGAGATACGCAAAATAGGCCAATGCCATGTTCTCTCATCCTGAACATAATCTATATTCCAATACATATAATTCGGGATGGAGAGATCACCCGTATTTTTCATGGAGGTAACCAGCCCCACAAAATTCAGCATTCCAAGGTCATGGGCAACAAATTCAGTTCAATTCTCAACCTATGAATATTCCAAGCTTCTACAAGCTATCGTCCTTCTTCCTATAATCAAAGCTCTTCAAATCAAAATTCTACTCCTCTTCACCTATCCCAATTGGATGAGATATTAAACACCAACAAACAAATCATAGCTGCCCTTAATGGTATGCAATTAACTGTTCAATTGGCTAATACTCACTCCCAAACAATAGAAAAAATTGAAACCCAACTAGGACAATTAGCTACTTCCACGAATCAGCTTCATAAGAGGGACATGGGCAAACTTCTAGCTCAGTTCAGAAAAATATCTACCCATCTATATAGAAGAGAAAAATCTAGATTACTATGGACCGACTGAACCAATGACTATTCATGATTCCATAATTGAATATTGAATCATTTCCATACCGGTTCCAATTTAGAGGAATGTTATGGTAAAACTTCGTTTGATAGGATTATTTGTAATTGATGAAATCCCTCTTCCGAGTGGACCACATCATGAGCAAGTCCATGTAATCACCACATTTTGGAGTGAAAGAGTTGTGGATAACAAGGTTGGGGGAGAGAATGAAATTCTTGCTATAAAGGATTCAAGTCCTCCACCTAAAAATCTAAACATCAGTCCAGAAATTCCAAATCCACTAATCCCAAGTGTTGAGACATATTTTGAGCTCAAGGCTCCGTTTCCTCAATGCCTCAAAGAGTCCACACACTTTGGCAACAAGGGCAATAAAATTTAGGATATGTTTGAAGTCTTTAGGCAAGTAAAGATCGACATTCCTCTTCTTGATGCCATCAAGCAAATTCCACCCTATGCTAAATTTCTCAAAAATTTGTGTACTCAAAAACTCATCTCTAAGAGCAATATTCCAAAGAAGGTAAGGTTAACTGAGCAGGTGAGTGCTATCATTCAGCACAATACACATCCAAAGTTTAAGGATCTGGGCGCCCTGACAATTTCGTGTGTCATTGGAGACAACGAGATAGAAAAGGCCCTCCTTGACTTAAGAGCAAGTGTAAATATGATCCTCTACTCAGTTTACTTGTAACTTTGCTTAGGAGAACTCAAACCTACCTCGGTTGTCTTGCAACTTGCGGATAGATCCGTCAAGCAACCTCGTGGTATCATTGAGGATGTACTCATTAAGGTGGATAAGTTCTACTTCCCGGTAGACTTCTTGGTTCTAGATACTGAACTGGTCCACAATCTCAAAAGACACATTAATGTGATCCTTGGTCAGCCTTTTTTAGCCATAGGTAATGCTTCAATTAAATATCAGACTAAGATATCTCTTTTGGAAATATGAAGGTAAAGCTCAACATCTTCAATGCCTCTCAACATCCTACGGATGAAAATGAATGCTTTTCTCTTGATGTGTTAGATTAATTGGTCGAAAAATCTCTCCAATTTCCTCTAAGCCAAGACCATCTCGAAACGCAAATGACTCATGTTAATTCTAAGGAGGTTGTTGTTAAACAATCTGGCTAGAAAGCAAATTCATTGCTTGATACTTCATCATCTATTCAGTCTTCTCTTTGGTCAGTGATATGCTCTAATTTATTTACCACTCGCAATAGAACGAATCCCTTGCAGGATAGGACTACTTAGAAGGTGTCAAGCCTTAGGGACTATGGTGGATTATCAAGTGTTCAATTAATACTATTTTAATTTAGAGAAAATGATTGTTTGATTTGTTGTGTATCACTAACATAAATAAAACTAAATAAATAAAAGAATGAGATCAGAGAGAGAATTTCTTAGGGATTGACTTCACTACGAACCTCATACTATGGTCAACTGTTCAACCTTAGGATTTTAACACTTATGCATAATATGGAATTAAACTCAATAACTCGTTTAATTCAAATTTAAAGAAAGTTTTTTCATAAATTTCAGTTAATAATAACCTATCTTTGATTGGCACGAATTATCTACCTACCTACTTCTAACTAATGTTGCAGTATAACTCATCTTTCTGAGGCATAAACTATGAAAACATTCATTCATAAAAAATATTTGAACACCATTACCTGATCTCTATTCTTATTATCCAAGACCCTTAGCTACCAATCTCGTACACTAAGAATAAGTTGAATATAATTTAAGAACAATTAAATTTAAGACAAGGTATTAATCATTCAAAAACTACATACTTCCTTAAAATCCAATTGACCTAAGTCAATTACCCATAATCATGCAATCAAAATACATAAGCAGTTAAAATCCCAAAGTATAGAACAATCAAACCATAGTATTCGGATTCGAGTTACATCAATGCCCTAAGAGATGATTACCTCCTCATGACGATGTAAGATATCATATGTGTTGTTGTGGACTTCATCACCATGGACTGCACTTCTCTTCTGAGGATCTTCACCTTCAATGCTTCAGAAAGAACTCAATAACCCTAAAAGCTGCCACTAGATCTAGAATAACTTGTAAGAAGAAAAGAGAGCTTTTATGTAGCCTTGTGCATCCTTTTATAGAAATAATTGACTTCTAACAAGGATAAGATAGGCTTTAGGTTTTCTGGAGTCATCTAGGCCCGTTTGGGATGAAATAAGACTTAATTAGAATTCATCCCACAACTTAGAAATTTGACTTAACAACCAAGGCTTGAGCAGAGAAGCTTCTGCACGAGCTTTTTGGCATGTGCTTGAGCCTTTTAGATTGTGCTCGAGCAGGAATTCCATAGTTAGCCAATTTTCTTCAAACCTTTTCTGAAGCGTCCTTTTCATCGACACTTTGAATATTTTGGGATAATTTCTTCATGGTGCTCGATCACTTTGACTTAGTGCTCGAGCTTTTTGGTCTCTGCTCGAGGTCTGGCAACATGGATCTTCTGAAGCATCTTTTAATATTCCGAAGGAGTTTGAGCTCGATCCCTTTTGCAAAGACTCGAACACCTTAAGTATTTGCTCGAGCCTTTTGGCCTTGGATGTTTTTTTTGCTTCAATTAACTTTATGCTCGAGCTACTCGAGCCAAGGAACTTGTGCTCGAGCTTTGGCACTTAAACTTCTCCAAAATTACCATTTTGACTCCAAGCTTGTTTTAGATAATCGGCGATAACTCTGTTAACTTCGATATCAGTCTTTTCATTATAAAATGTAATACCCCTATATTTTAAAGGAATTATTTATAGGGATTAATTACTTTTATTTTATTTAAAAATTAATTGTTTGATTTAATTGGGTTTAATTAATTTAATTTTATTTTTAAATGATTTATTTTTATTTAATTGAGTGTTTAAATTAATTTTCTTATTTTAATTAAATTATATTTCGTGATTATATATGATGATTGTTTGTGTGTGTGCTTGATTATTGGTTAAATTGTTGGTGTGTTGATTTTATTGGTATGATGTAACTTGATTGTAAATTCTTGTTTTGTTTATGTGCTTCATGTAATTAGTTATTTTAATTTAAGTGTTTATTTAATTATTTTATTTATTTAAACTAATTGGATTGGGCTCAAGAGAAGTGGGACCAATGGATGTGGTATTGGGCTTGAATTAAGCCCTCTTGGGTTAATTAATAAAGGCACATGGTCATGTGATTATTTAAATGACCATTTTTGAATAATTATAAATATATATATATATATATATATATATATATATATATATATAATTAATTAATAAGTGTTGTGGAAAGATATATATATATATATATATATATATATATATATATATTATTTAAAAGCTAATTATTATTTCTTTTATTTAGTAGTCATACTAGGAATAAGATTAGGGTAATTAATATGTATAAATATACATATAAGGTTTTATTGTTAAAGTTTTCACATTAGAAAAATAAGAGAGGCAAAGAGAGAAGCAGAGGAAGGACTAACAAAGAGGAGACCGGATAAGAAAAAGAGAACGCTAAAATTGGAAGAGACAATCAAGGCTTAAGGCGTCGATTTCATTTCAAAACCTTCAGGCGAGTTCTTCTTTATCTTTTTTCTTAGAACTCATAAGTATTTTACCTTGAGTATCAAAAGCTTTAGGTTAAATTTATTTGATTATTTTTTTCTAATCATGTTTCTGGTCATTGTCCTCAAAGAGTTCGACAGACGAAGCCAAAGAAGAAAAAATTGGTGGATAAATGGGTAGTGAAACAGAAGGGAAAACTAGTGGTTCAAGATGAGGATGAGGTGCTTGAAGAAACGTCTCTAAGAGATAATACGATTCATCAACCTGTTATTGCCCTTCCAACTTCAAACACTTTTCAATTATTACAACAAGATGATGCAGAAGAGGAAATGGTTGTGGAGACACCTATTCTAGATCAATCAGTGGTTGTGGTAGAGGAGACCCCTATTGTGCATGTAGTAGACAATATATCAGAGGAAGTGGTTGTAGAGACTCCAAGTGAGCAAGTTAATTTAGAAGAATTACAACAAGATGTTGTGATAGTAGAGACCCCCATATTGCAGGTCGAAATTTCCTCAAGACCACAAGCTAACAAAGGTAATATTCTAGAGGTGGTGCTAACTGATCTAAGTGCAGAACATTCTTGTGAGGACATTGATAAATCTAAAGATAAATTATCTCCAAAAGTTACATAAAGTGAGCAAAAGCCCAAGAAGAAATTTACTGTAGCTCGAATTTCACCAATGGTTATTAGGAGTCAATGGGTGCTTCCCTACTCCACACCACTAAATGATCACATTATGGAATGTGATGGGCTTAAACAAGCCAAGGAGACAAAGAGAGGTTCGACAATGGATCAAAGCCAATGACTCTCATTTTGTCTGTCTTCAAGAAACAAGGGTGAGAAGACCCAATTTTGATTTTATTACAGCAAATATTAATAGGAGATGGAGTTGGATCCATAATTATAATTCTCATGTTTTAGGAAAACTTTGGATTGGCTGGGATCCAGTAATGTTCTCAGTGACTATGATAAATGAGATGGATCAATGTCTCCTTCTTAAAGTCCATATTTTACAGACTAGGGAGGTTGTTTATTGTACTCTAGTTTACGCTTCTAATACAATTGCAGGTAGAAGAAGACTTTGGAGTCACTTAATTTCTCAGGCCTTAATTGTTATTGGCCCTTGATTTATGGTTGGTGACTGGAATGCTACAAGATTTCATTCAGACAAAAAAGGAGGTAAAAAGGTTCCTCAAAGGCTTCTTGATGAGTTTAATGATTGTTTGCAGAAGGCTGGTTTATTTGAGATATTTGCCTCTAATGGTGATTGTTCCTGGTGCAATAGACAATGAAGCAATAGAAGAATTTTGGCAAAGCTTGATAGGGTGTTCTAATGACCCATGGTTACAGATGTTTACTGGTACCAAAATCTCTTGTTCAGCTTCTTCCTCATCTGATCATTATGGAGTAATCATCAATATTTTTAGACAATTTGCAAGGGGTCCAAAGCCCTTCAAGATGTTAAAAATTTGGTGCTTACAAGAGGGTATTTTTGACGTGATAAAAAAATCTTGGGAAGTTCCTATCATTGGGACTCCCTTTCATATACTTCTCAAAAAACTCAAAAATGTGAAGGCTGCTATCAAAGCTTGGAATTTGAATTCATTTGGGAATATTAAAGAGAGGGTTCATAAGTCTAAACAGGCCTTAGAAGATGTTCAATTATCACTCCTTGATAATCCTACAAATGATTTGTTTACAAAGGAGAACCAAGCTAAGGATGAGTACCATGATGCTCTATCTTCTAAAGAGATTCTATATGCTCAAAAGTCCAGAATTCATTGGCTCAAATATAATAATCGATGTTCAGCCTTCTTTTATTCCAAGATGAAGCAGCACAATCAATTCAATGCAATTACATCTGTGGAAGATCATACTGGACAGGTAAAAACTCAAACAGATGAGATAAGAAAGGTGTTTGTGGATTATTATCAAGGCTTGTTTCAAGAGAATAATACTACTTGTGCATTTGAAGCTACTCCAAAACATATCTTAACTCTTGATGACAAATTGGTTGTAGATGCTCCTATAACAGATGAAGATATCAAAGCTGTGGTTATGAATTTCAAACCAGATAAAGCCCCTTGTCCAGACGGCTTCCTAGCTAGGTTTTATCAATCATTTTGGTCTATTGTCCAACCTGAAGTTAGTGCAGTAGTTAAATATTTTTTTCACTGAGGGTTCTATTCCAATTGGGGTGAGCAGTTCCTTCCTCACTTTGATACCTAAAGTAGGGAATGCAGTCAAGCCTAAAGATTACAGGCCTATTGCTTTATGCAACCTCAGTTACAAAATTATCTCCAAAATTCTGGCTGCTAGACTGGCTTTGGTTCTTCCTAATTTGGTGGGATTGGAACAAAGTGTCTTTATTAAAGGCCAGAAAATTCAAGATGCAATCATTATGGGACACGAAATGGTTAGTGAATTTAAATCCAAACATCCTATCATGGCCTTAAAAATTGATATTAGTAAGGCATTTGATTCAGTTTCTTGGAGTTTCCTCTTGAAGACTCTTATCACTTCTGGTTTCAGTCCTATTTGGATCAAATGGATTAGTAACCTTTTGCATTCCACTAGATACTCAATTCTTATGAATGGATCTCCCACTAGTTTTATCCAACCTTCAAAAGGATTAAGGCAAGGATGCCCCCTTTCACCTCTGCTATTTACTTTGGTAGCTGATTAATTATATTAGCTTATTAATACTTCAATTTCAGAGGGGAGACTTACATTGTCAAATACTGCCTTGAAAGCAAACTCCATATGCTGTCATACTTTTTTTGCTGATGATCTTTTGATTACTTGCAAAGCTTCAGTTACTAATACTAGAATACTTACACATATTTTCAAGGTATTTGGGGATGCTGCTGGTCTTCGTATCAATTATCAAAAAAGTAGTGTTATCTTTTCCAAGTTTGCCAGAAGAAAGAGATTAATTTTAAACATGCTTCAATGCAAGGAGGATGTCTTTCCTTTCAAATATTTGGGGTTACCATTGAGTTCTATTGGTTTCAGAAAATTCCATTGTAATGCTCTTACTGATAAAATCTCCAAAAAGCTCTCTCATTGGAGTACCAAGCTGTTATCTACTGTAGGTAAAACTGAGCTGATCAAGTCGGTTATTACTCCTACATGTCTTTACTGGTGCAGCGTTTTTCAACTTCCTATAGCAGTCATCAATCAAATTCAAAAGATGTGTAGAGATTTTGTTTGGGGAAGCAGGGAAAACATAAATAAACTTCATCTCTTGAGCTGGGATATGATGTGCAGGCCCAAAGATGAGGGAGGTTTGGGTATCAGGAAATTGAAAGATCTGCAAGTCACTTCTCAGCGTGTCTTAGCTTGGGATTTCCTATTAAGCAAGGATAGGCTTTGGATATCTTGGTTTCACCACAGGTATACAACATCTTCTAATTTTTGGAATGCTATTCCTAAGATTTCACATTCAATCTTATGGAAGAACATGATTAATGTTAGAGAAACTTTGCTTAATGCAATTCATTTCTCAAATGGTGATGGGTAATTCTTTAAAGCTATATCAGATCCTTGGTGTGAGGGGGCGACTTTATTACAAAAATTTGGCTATAGAATTGTCAGAAGGTTGGATTTTACATGGAATTCATCATTGTCGCAACTAATGATTGATGGTAGATGGAATTTTGAATTGTTACAGGAGGATATTTTTAAACCTATTAAAAATTATTTGTGTACATTGACAATTCACTCTAAAACTGATAAGTTACTTTGGGATGGAGGAAATTTCTCTTTCAAAAATGTGTGGGAAAGCTGTAGGGTCATAAATCCAGAGGTTAATTGGTCTAAAATTTGCTGGGGAAAAGCTAGACCGTGGTGGTCAGTTAATGGTGTCTTTCTGTTCCAAGATAGACTACCGTCTATGTATAATTTGCAGAGAAGAAAGGTGCAGTTGGTTCCAAGATGTTCTCTTTGTTTACAAGGGATTGATACCAGAAATCATTTGTTTGTTCAATGTCCATTTGCAAGGAATTTCTGGAAATGGTTGGCAGACACTCTTGATTGGAGGACTGATTTTACTCTTTTGAACTCAATGGAAGATTTGTTGACTTGGTTTTTGCAGCAGAGTGCAAAATGGTTCACACTATGCTAGTTGCTGGGCTTTGGGGTATTTAGCAAGAGAGAAATCGAAGACGTCATGACCACAGTTCTAGGTCCACCTTTGAGGTGGCTCGACAAATTTTATATGAAGTTCTTGATGTTTATAATGTCTCCCTTAGAGACATTATTTAGCATTATTTGTTTACATTTCATTTCTTTTTCTGAAATAGGTTTTTCCATTTCTGTTTCATTCTGAGGGAATGCCCTCTGTGCGCCTGTAAATACTTTTTCTTTCTTTTATACAAACCCAATTATGAAAAAAAAAAAAAAAAAATTATTTGATTAAATCATGTTTAGATCGGATTATTTAAAAATATGAATTATTATATATTTTTAGTTTTGGATTATTGAATTTTAATTGTATACATAAATGTTGTATATATAATTTAAAATCAATTTATAGGTTAATCTATAACCCAAGAGGGTTAACTATGGCTTTTGGAATTTCTGATATTTTTTTGAAATATTCTGCTCTTTTTATATATATTTTTGGAATTTATTAGATTTATTTTCCTATTATTTGTTTGAAAAATTATATATGTACATATATATATATATATATATATATATATACACACACACACTGGTGTCTGTGGATTGGTGCCTCAATAAGGAATTATTTCAGTGTGGCGCGATACATGGAATGATGGTGCGTTCATTGATTTGGGCCATTAGATTATTTAAACATCAATGGATTAATTCAATGCATTGCGGTGCATGATATGTTGATATATAGGCGGAATCCAGCAGTTAGATTTAATTGATGAAACAGAGATGATTCGGTGCAACACATATGCATAAAAGTCAAGCACCTGCAGGACTTCATTTGGTACAACGTAGGCGCATGGAGGACCATGCAGCTGTGAGAAAAGATCTGGTGCGGCGCATTCCATTAGAGTTGATGTAGCAGTGAATCATAATGAGCCACGTGTCAAAATCTTAGTCTTTAATCCGGTGCGGTCGTGCTCACAGTAGTAATTGAGCTCAACCTATTATTCTGCCTGTTTTGATACTCGAAAGTTAAATTGTCATAACTTAATCATCTTAATTCGAAATTGGGTCATTCTTAAGCTTAAATTTAAGGATTATTCGTCCTCTTTCCAATGGTACCAAGTTCATTCATAGATTCCTATCCTACTAGGAGATATATACATTTTAGTGAGACGGTGTCAGAAAATTATTTAAACTGAGATGGAGTATTTACGGGAAACCACATCTGACTATATTTAGTAGCATTTAATTTGAGTAAATATAATTAATTAATATTATGCTATCGAAGGAGGTGTGTGTGTGTATATATATATATATATATTTATTTATTTATATATATGTATTTATGGTTTAATTAAGTTATGATTAGTATGGAAGGATGTATATATATATGTATAATACCTTCCATATAATTATTCTTAATTACACATATATATTAATATATATTTAAGATAATTAATATTATTATTCTTATTTGGTATATCATGCTTTATAGGTAGTATGGTTGGTAAAATCATAATAGGCTGGTTATTAAATTTACGTTGTGCTTTTAATATGCATGGGATGTCTATGTATGATTTAGTTTATTGTTAACCCTAAAGTTAGTACATGGTTGAATTGTAGGCATGGATGAATTGCCATAGGTGTAAATATATTGCATAATTATTTGCATGAATAAAATACATACATGGGAAGTATAGATGAGTTGCTAATTAAAAGTATAAATATATATACTTAAGGAGGCATAGCTAAGTTGCCAATATATAAATAAATATATTTATAATGGCATGGTTGAATTGCCAATGTATAATTAAATTGCTATGTGTTAGATGATTAAAATTTCAGCTATGGTTATTGTATGTATAGGTTGGATATATTATGATTAGATATTCTTAAATTAGAATAATCTAGTACTTACAGGTTAGTGTATTATTATATATATATTAGTGTATTATTATATATATATATATTAATAAAATAATATTGGTGGAGACATGAATGATTTGTCAAAGCCTAGATATTGGCTATGTGATTTAAATAATTAAAAAAATTATTATTTAGCTTTGGATTAAAGGAAATATTCCTTAAAGTATGTTTTATTATTTAAATGGTTTAATAACCATTTAGGATGGAATTATGGTTTAAGGGACTTCTTTTTAAAAGAAAATGAGTTTGTGGATTGGTTTAGGTATGATTAGGATTTAATCATTATTATTGGTTTTGGAATTAATGAACCTAGTTATAGATGTGACTGTGGTATTATATAAAATTATTTATATATATGCGTATTAGTGCATATTAAAGTTAAAACTTTACTAGGTTTGGTTTTAATCAGAGATGATCTATTTATTGGTTTTCAGAGGCTTGGTAAAGAGAGCTTGCTTACAGGTTTGACCCACTTATTTTTATCTTCAGGTTATTAGAGGTTTAAGTCTCAAGGTTGAGGATCCGTAGTTGGAGGACTTATCCATTCTTTATTCCAATTTCAAAGTAGGATGTTTATCCATTATTAGATGATAGATTTATTTTATTATTGACTGGATTATTGGATTATATTTTTAGAGATCTTTGAGCTACGAAATTCCCGAGTTGTAGTTTTGGAGAAGTATTAATGGAATTATTATTTATTAGTTTTCTTCAACGTATTATTTATTTTTTTATTTAATTTTGTAATATGTGTTTTTTTGAAATACTTTAATTGTTTTGATATCCCTTGATTTTTTGCGCGGATTTGATCAATCTGTGTTATGAAATTAGGGGGTATCACAGTTGGTATCAGAGCACTCCTGGTTCAAGTGTCCCTAGGGTGTCTTTTGTTGTGTGACTTCCACGTTGTGTACTCTTTTACTGTGATACCCCCAGATTTCCAGATACGGGTTGGCCAGGGCCACGCCCAAATACCCGAGAATATCAAAGCAAATGGCAATAATCGAACATAGAATAATACAAATATGATAAACAGGAATAATTAAAATGGCTGAAAGAAAACTAAAATGATAATCCTTTAATGAAAACCTTAGAATAGATTTTTTTTATATATAATAACTACTCTACTACATCCAAAACCTCCAAGACAAATACAACTCGGGAATCCATCTGGTGAAACCTTATTCAAAACCCTACTGAAGATAAACTAAACTAAAAAGAAATCCCAAAACTAAATATAACTAGCAGTCCTACGCAGTCGAAAGAATGAGTGACCATTTCTGCTCAGCACGAACAAGCTCTAAGACTGGAACCGTCCAATACTTGAAAAACAATAGTGGGTTAGGCCCACGAACAAGTTCTATTCTAACTACAATCCAAACAAAGACCTAATATGCAAATACATCCTAGATATCTCAATAATATCTAAAAATAGTCCATATATGTATAGATACACACTATAGGATGCTCATTAGCCTATAGTTCTGTCTCAACCTGAATAGAAAGTAATATGCAAATCGCACATCACGTGGGCATGTATACTTAGACCTACCAAGGAACAACAACTATGTCCAGCTATCCATCCTAGGCAATACATGCACCCTAACCATGATCTTGAGACTCAAACTCATATCACGGTACCATAAGTATATATATAAAATATTATTCCTAATACTAAAAATAAAACAAACATCAAATATGTCATCCATCTATTTTAGTTGATAAGACATGAATCCATGTAGAATTTAACTATTTTAGTTAATCCATTTCGTATGTATGAATAGGTAGGAATTAACGTTTTGATCTAATCCATCCCTAATATGCCACCATCCCATACCGGTGCATATAATGTATATGATCCATAAATGATGTAATACCTAAAACAGTACATCAAATAAAATTCACATAATCCATATGGTTGAGAGAAACAGAATTTAAATGGTTCATCAACCAAAATCCAAAATAACATCCCTGTAATTGTTAAAATAGTATTTAATCATTCAGTAATTAAAATCCAAAACATTAATCCATGTAATTAACAGAACAGAGTTTAAACGTTCAGCAATTAGAATCCAAAACATTAATCCATCTAACTACGGAACAGAGTTTAAAAGTTCAGCAATTAGAATCTAGAGTAAGTATAGATCAATTCTGATAGATAAATGACCCTGTTATGCATCCAAAGCAAGATTTATAATCACGCTACAATCCGTTAAATTGTTAAAACAAAATTAAACAATTTAATCCCTTTCTATCCGTTAACAGCATGCAATATTGTTTAAACTTTCCTACTGTTAAATTCAATAGCATAAAAACATTAATTCTGCAGTGTGGGTTCTAATACAGCATAATATAATGTTTAGAGTCCATGCGCTATAGCCCATTAAATTGTTAAACAAAATTAAACAATTTAATCCTTTCTATCTGTTAACAGCATACAAAGTTGCTTAATTTCATATTGTTCATTCCATT